GGCCTGAAACATGCTGGGCATGTGCAAAAGTGGCCAAGATCTGAGGCGGAGGAGTAGAGGAAGGGGGCTGTGCTGTGATTCTATAGAAGTTTCTGTCTTTCTCTGGTGCATGTGAATAAAGGGAAAAATGCTTTTTTAAAATGAGTTAGTGATTAATATTAATATTACCTTAGGACAATAGTTCGTAGCAATAGTCAAGAGTACAAACTCTTAGAGGTCAAAGTTTAGAATAAGAATAGTATCTGACTTTTAGGATCCTTGTGAGGATTAAATGAGATAATTTATATAAAACTCTTAGCACCTGTCTTTTGTAAGAACCCTCGATAATTGTTGGTTATCTTTTTTTTTTTTTTGAGAGTTTTTTTTGCTATAGGGCATGTGCACTCACCAGACAGAGACAGACAGAGAGACAGAAAGTGAGAAATCGCCCCCCAGGGGGAATGACCACGCCGCAATCCCTTCTCCTCCATTCTCCTCTCGGGACCTTGGGCATGCACACACACGCGCCTGGCATGAGTTTTAAGCCACCAGGTCCGGGACTCAAACTGTGGTTGACTATATGGGAGTCCTGTGACATAGCCATTACACTGACTGCTGGTCCCAATTGTTGGCTATCTTATCAAACAACCAAATTATATACAATTCATTATTGCTCATCTGTAGGTACAGATAGACTTCATACTATTTTAAAAGTAATTCACATATTTGCACCCTTCATAAAGACTCTTCCAGGGCCTAGCACAGGACCTGCCCACAAAGGCCTCAACTTGGTGGTCTCTGAATGAATGGATGAATGAGTCCAGGTTAGCATCTAGAAAAAGATTCAAAATTAATGGGCAGGATGTGTCAACAAGAGCCAAAACAAGTGTCTGTTGTCCACTATATACTTGTAAAGGAACTGAACTAGTGTCTATTAGATTCTCCCAAACCACTTAGGATGCCATTTCTAGCCAAGCAGAAATTTTAGGTCACACATCAAAAAAGTCTGAGCTAATGATCACAATAGGAGTGAACACTTCTTGAGGATTTATGAAGTACCAAGCACCATTCTAGGAGCCCCATATGCATTATCAAATTTTATCTTGCCACAACGCTCTAATGTGCTACTATTCTTATTCCCATTTTACAGAGGATGTCACTGAGTCTCAGAGAGGTGGAATTAGTTTGGCCAAAGCCAAATAGTGAATAATGGTGGCATTATGTCTTGAGTCACGCAGCTCCCAAGTATACATACCAGACATTATATGTCGGGTCTCAAAAATTTGTGGAAAATACATATTATAAAAAAGCCATGCATGAATTTCAACTTTTTTTTTGCACCAAAATAAACTCATACTTTGGTTCCACTACTCCGCAGACTTTTTGATGTGCCCTCATATGAAACTATGTGGAAATGCTTAGGGTAAGGGTCCTAAAATTTTGTTACTCTGAGACCAAGCTAAATCTACTAAAAATTTTGAGATGCTCTCTTACCTCAAAGTAAGTCTCAACTAATGTGATTCTTCAACTTATTAACCTGGGTTCTCTGTTTTAATAAAATGTCTCCCTGGGACCAGCAGATGGTGTAGCAGTTACATCACTGGACTCGCATGTGACCGACCTTGATTTGAGTCCCAGACCCAGTGGCTTAAAACTCACACCAGGTGCTTGTGTGTGCATGCTCAAAATTCTGAGAAAAGGATAGAAAAGAAGAGATTGCAGCATGGCCTTCTGCCCTGGGAGGTGTTTTATCATTTTCTGTCTCTCTGTCTCTGGTGAGTGTACATAACCTACAGCAAAAATCTCTGTAAAAAAGAAGGAAGAAAAAGAAAAAGAAAAGGTCTTGCAAAACCACAATTCTCCAAAGAATTGAGTGGGGCAAAGAGCCTACCTGTTTCCCTTGGTTCTTGTCTTCAACCTCTGCCACCTGCCATATTTCCAATATATTAAAACTCATGGAATAGAGAATACTTAGCAAGAAAAAAACCCTGATATTCCCAGATTATAAAAGATTGATGTAATTTCTCTGGAACCTCCTTACCCAAGATACTGAAAAGAATGGGTTTTATACTACAAGTTTCTTCTCAGATGGGCATGTGCTTTACAAATAATGGAACTAATGCAATTCATTCGTGGTGAGTAAATTTATCACCATGGATGTTGTATTAACTCTCTGAGGCCAATTCATTTTGGGATTCAATACATAAGATCTTCAAGTGTACTGAGTGATGCCTCATTGCTTAGAAAGACTTCTAGAGAAATAGCAATTTGGACCTTTGCCTCCTTGAATTCTTTAACCCTTGAAAGATGCTTTCAAGAATTATGAAAAGGATTCACACTTCCATTTTCTGCCTGGAAAAGCTGAAGACCGTGTGCAAGAAGGAGTGAATCTCGCGGTCTCAGTTCTTATTCAGTTCTATGACCATTTCAACTCATTTCATGAATACCTTCTAGACTTATCCCTGGGTCATGTTTTAAAAAGTGGTCAGCAAAACTGGCCTGAAAATATTTCTTGACTTAGCCACAGTTGCTGCTGACACTGCAAGTAAATACGAAATGAACCTTCTTCAGTATTCCGCTCTCAGTAGCTTCTGTTCCATTCCCACCCTTGACCATTCTAGAGTTTCGTTCTTTGAAGGGGCACAATACCATGCATTCTGTGCTGGATGCTTCCTTCATACTAAGCCGAAGGTCATTGTTTATTGAGCCAAAGTTGGCACTGAGAATGGAAACAAATGGGGAAGGATGTGTGTTTGAATTCACATCAAGTTTTTTCTGCCCATGGGTCCATGCCATGTAGCACGTATAAGGATTTTTTATAAGTGAACTCAAGTAGTCCTTATGGAAATGAATAAATATGGAATGAAATTAAATTTTTGAAAAGAAAGAAACTTATCTTAAAAACAATGCATGTCACCGTGCTGCAATACAATTCTCTGAATGGAATTCCTTTGGAAAAGTAAAACTGACACACCTGGCCCACTAAATTGTTGAGGAGGGTGAAATATTGACTACAGGAAAATAGAAAAATGAAAAAGCCCTGGACTAGAGAATGCAATGGCTAATAATTCTGTACTGTCATTGAAAAGTCCACGTAATGCTCTTGAATTCTGGAAAGCTTATGTAGGATTTAAAATGTCTAGAGGGACTTGCTAGAAGTGTTGTGTTATTTTGCTTTAAATAAGAGCGAGAGATCAGAATTGATAGGGGCTCTCTCTCTTTTTGGAAGGAGAGCTAAATTTTAAAAAGTCTGTTTTTAATATGATCACTAATCTAGGAACCATATTTCCCTTATTACTAATTAGTATATTATTTTTATTATTTGCTGCATATTTTATCCTCATAATTTCGCCTTAAATAGTTCGGTATTTGGGGGCTTCTTCAGATTCTCTGCCATGAGTAATTTGCCTCCTTTGGAGGCTAGATGAATGGCATTATATGGAAGAAATATTACAATGAGCAATATGAATTCTACACATTAAAAAAAAAGTCCAGATTTTTACACGTATAGAGGTTTGTTTCATTTGCTTTCTCCAACTTGACTTTTTCTGTAATGCAAAACTTGCTGAATGTACCGTTTGCCTTGATATAGATTCTAATATATGGAAAGTCTGCGTGGAGGAGGAAAACACAGGCAATATTGTTCAAAGAATCATTAAGGAGGTATTATTTTACATAACAATGTAATTAGACTCCTTTAGAGGAAAATGTAAGTATTCATATTTTCATCTTTTCTCTAGGTATGTAGCCATCACAAATTAAGTGAAAAGTCAACTAATTCGTAACATTTAATTTGAGTGTTGAGCCTGAGAATATATCTGAAATTACAATCATAATAATAATAAAGACTCCAGTCCTGGCTTAAAGCAGGTCTTTAATTTAAGGTCAGATAAGCATTGCTTACAATAATTAAAATTCTAATTTTGTAGAACCTTCTAGATCTTAAAAAGAGTCAAAGGCAAAAGAAATTTTTCCACCAATCTGCTGAGTATCAACTTCAAAAGAGAACTTTTTTCTTTTTTCTATCTCCAATTTATCCTGACAAAAATTCTCTTGGGCTTTTATTTCAAAAGATGAAAAATGAGCCATGGCAGTCAATGGTGTATGGTGACTATTTATCTGTTTACACATATCCATGTGATTGCTAGAAAAACCAGATTAGACTTTGAATGTGGTGTGAAGAATGTATGCTATTCACAAACCCATAGCCCTCAAAGGAGAAATAGGTTAAAAACTCAAAACTAAGTTATAGAAACCACACATCTTATTTTTTTTAACTATAATTCAAGGTCTGTTTTTTTTTTCCAGGTAAATAAAAAAATAGCAAATCAATTCAGTTTATAGCTTTTCCTAACAACAAAATTCATAAAGCTAATTATTTAATAAAACCCATGCTTTAATTTATGTGACAGATGTCTATCTGAAAAAAATACCTAAACATCTCATTTTGATTAATCGAAGAATATCTTGAATGTACTGGACAAACTTCTTAGTTATAGAATTCTGTAGGAAATACCTTTACAAAGCAAAGGGCACTTTTATAAAATTAACACTATCCCTGAAATTAATCATTTTCATTTTGTAGTTTCTGATTTTCACAGGGTGGCTTTCTTTAAGTCAGTGTGCACCTGTAGGAAATTTTATACAGTAGTCACTCCCATAATCAGAAAACAAATTCATTTTCAGAGGAAAGTAGAAAGTACACAATGGCATACATGCCTGTTTTATGGCCACATCTGCACAGCTCAGGGAAAAGTTTGCAGATATGTCTGCTGATCACATTACAAGCTTGTTATGTGAAAATAAAGTTGTACCTTTGATGGGGTATTGAAGCTGAGTTAGAAGTCTCTAGTTATTAGAAGTTTTGCATGTCACAGAGTGTAGGAGATTAGGGACCCAGAAATACTAGCTGAACTTTGGCCATATCTATGAAATATCAGTGGACTCACTAAATAAAGACGAAACACACACACACACACATACCGTGACAAAGATGAGTTTACGTTATTTCTGACTCTCACCTCTGAGAAAGTCCACTGTGCTCATACGGTGCCTTGAAGACGCCAGCTGAGAACAAAGCTGTTTTCAGAAGCAGTAAGTGATTTCATTCCATTAATGTCCAGGTGATATGTGAAGGCCATTATCACATCACTAACGTGGCAGCAGACGTTTCCTGGCCAAACCAAGGTAGCACAAATGTTTGTGAAACGTGGGGCTAGAAAGGTTGTCCTTAGAAATCCTTGTCATTGTCTGCTACTGTCACCAAATGCTAAATCTACTCAAAAACTGATCTTTCGAATTTCAAAAGCAGAAGAAATTGCATGTCACATTAGACATCACAGAAAACATTTAAACAAAACAGTTTGCAGGAAGAATTGAAGGATTTTAGTGAAATGTTTGTGTACCAGATGCAATGGGTTATCAGAGAAAGTAGAGCATATGAGGGGGAAAATAATAACAAACTCGCTGTCACAGCACATTGAATGAACAGGATCGCCCCGGACCATCATTTGCCCCACCCATGAGAGAACAGCTCATAACGTTAGGGGCCAACTCTGTGGTCCCCAGCTGCAAATGTGCCCTGTGAAATCAACCCAAGTTTGGAGCAGAGAGTCAAACTCCCGGACACATCCAATGTACCGACATGCAGTGATAAATAGGCATCCTAGAAACAGACTCAGCTACGTGATTAAAAATAACCACTGCTGCCCAATTTGAAGATACGGGAATATGATGCACACATTTTTATTATTTAACATTTTGCCAACAATTCTGAATCTAGAGAGCTGTAATTTCTTTTCTGAACAAAGAACCCGTCTCCACTAAATATAAATTTACTATGTTCCACCTAGCAGCGAAGGTCTACACAATAAGCCTGATATGTTTTGAATGAGGCATGTTGCTTTAAAGAGGCTTAAGATTTGAATTCTAGGCAAAATTTTTTAAACCTAAAATGACTATAGTAAAATCAATATTGATTATTGTAAAGGTGCTAATTGAGCCTATAAAACCTTTTAAGAACTAAGAGGGGAAATTTTCCAGTAAAACTTCAATAAATTAATATTAAATAACTAGAATATTTGTGTAGAATTTAATGTCAGTACATCAACCTCTCTTTAATTAAAAAAATAGTGTATTACTGATTCTGTCAGAAAGACCGTTCCAGTAACATTATAAGAGCAGTGTCACTTTAGTTACCTTTTCAACTTACATTTCATTATGTTCTAAAGAAAACCACTTTTTAGCTTTCTTATGCTTTTAAGAATTCACTTTTAATCACCGCACATTTTTAGCTGCCAGATCTTTCAGAGCTTGATATATATTGTTCTCACACTGAACTGAAAGCAAAAACCATTTTATTGAGAGATCGCATTTTAATATTTGACACAACAATCTGACAGAAAATATTCTTGTTAACAAGTTTAAAAAATGAAAATTATTCTATTCTTTATTGTGTTATTATGAAATCTGATCCAAAATTTCAGAAAATTGCCTTGAATGGGCAAATACTGGCAAGGTCCAAGTCTTCTACAAAAGCTTGCTTTAATCAGTGTAGAGACTGGTTTTAATTAAGGGTTGAGGATCCTCAACATTAAATAGATATATTAGCAGTAAAACATTCTATTTTAAAACTTTCCATTCCAGAAGCTCTCCATACGGGCTGAAACCTACTGTCTGGCTCAATATTCAAATGCCCTATAACTTATTATTCCCTTTAGAGCCAAAAGCAATTCTGATACCTTCCCAACAACTGCTACTTTATCTTCCCCCTCTTGTTTGGTCCCATCTTTCTCACCTGATCTGCATACTTCTTATCCTCCTGGGGAAAGAATTATAACCTGTTCACATTTCTGGCTGTTTAGTCATAGTTGAGGTTTTTTTTTTCCCCATCTGCCCAAGAAAACAAGAAGATATAGAGGCATTTGAAATTAGGAAGGGAGAAAAAAAAAAAAAAAAACCCTGCCTCATTAATAATTTTATTTTTTAAACTTATTTTTATTAATATTATTATTATTTTAATTTGACCAAAGAGCGATACAGAGAGAGAGGGAAAGTGAAAAAGCAAACCACCAGGTCTGGAACCCGAACCATGGTCGGCCATGGTCCAGCCCCTTCACACCACCTGCCTGACCCTTCATAATCTTTATTAACTGGGGCCTACTTCTCCCACCTTATGAGTGACAAGTAATGATGGTGTTCAGGATTCCTACCAGCACCGGGAAGTATTTTGGGCAGTGTCTTGAGCTTACATTGTGTATGTCTCACCTTGACTGGGCACTATGGGTCCTTGAAAAGTCCAACAAAACAATAGATTGAGCAAAGATGCATAAAACTATACCTGGAATCTACTTCAAAGAATATGTAGTACAACTGGTCATTTTGCAGGTGAGGAAACAAAGACCCAAGAACATAAAGTGTTACCAAGATAGGAATGAAAGCTCTGCCCCCTGACTTCCATTTCAGGGGTCTCTTGCAGGTACCATCCTGCAGTTTTCACAGGAGCTGCAACATGGCTGGTTGGCTACTTCTGAGGGGTCTTTTGGTAGCAAAAGACCCAGTAATCTAGACAGATGCTTTGGACATACTAAAATTTGCAGATAACCCCAGAACCTTTTAGTGGTGACATCAGCATGTTACAAGTATATAATTTCAAATATTCTGTGATAGAATGCATTGCTTTTATAATTAAAAAATTAAGTGTTATAAAAAATTATGTCTAATAACACCTGCTTTGACATGACTTCATAGTTTACAAAGACTTTTCCTGTGATTACTTAATCCTATCCTCTCAAAACCATGTTGTGGTATTAGTAGTTCTACTTCTACATGAGGAAACTGAGGCTCAGAGGGATTAAGGGATGTGCCTGAAGATATTCAGTTGCTAGGTGCTGAACAACAGAACAGGAGCCTGGAACCCAGGTCCTCTGACTATGGTTTTCTGGTTTGTTCTGTTTTGTTTTTCTGAGAGAGATTTTTTGCTCTACAGCATGCGCACTCACCAGACAGAGAGAGATGGAAAGTGAGAAATCACCACATGGGGGGCTGGCCATGCCACGATCCTTTGTTCTTCATTTATCTCTTGGATTTTTTTGGCGTGCACACACACTTGCCCAGCATGAGTTTCAAGCTGCTGGGTCCAGGACTTGAACTGTAGTCAAGCATGTGGGAGTCCAGTGCCTTAACCTCTATGCCACCAGCTGGCCCCCTGACTGTGGTTTTTCTACTAAATCACAGTCTCCTTTGATTTGAGCTTTTAAATGTCTCCCTTTAGGATTTTCATGAGAATCTTGATAAAAGAAGGTCTCTGGAAAGTCCCGATGGTTTTGCTTTGTCTCCCCCCATGCCCCCACCCCCTGCCCCATCTTAGCATCTAGTTCTTTCTCACTTTCTTGTTTTTTAATTATCAGAGGGCACATGTGCTCACCACAGAGAGACAGAGGGAGAACATACCCCCCCAATGGGGTGTGGTCATGCCACAATCCCTTCTCCTCCAGTTCTCCATCCTGTCACATCTTGCAGCATGCACCCAGAAGTGCCTAAGGTGTTTTCCAAGCATCAGAGACAGGATTTGAAACGTCTAATAGGCCATATAGAATCCAGTTGCCTTAACCACCAGGCCATGGGGTTGACTCTAGTTTTCTTTTTAGTCTCTCATTTTTAAATTTCTTTCTTTCTTTCTTTCTTTCTTTCTTTCTTTCTTTCTTTCTTTCTTTCTTTCTTTCTTTCTTTCTTTCTTTCTTTCTTCTTTTTTAGAGAGGGATTTTTGCTATAAGGTGTGTGTGTGTGTGCTTGCTAGAGAGACAGGAGAGACAGAGAGACAGAAAGTGAGAAATCACCCCCAAGGGAGAGGGCCATGCCACAATCTCTTGTCCTCCATTGTCCTCTTGGGATTTTTTGGGCATACATGCACACGAGCCCAACATGAGTTTCAAGCCACTGGGTATAGGATTCAAACCACAGTCAGCCACGTAGGAGTCCAGCAATATAACCACTAGGTCGTCTGCTGGTCCCCTTTCACATTTAATTTTGAGAGAATGTAAGATCTGAGGAGCCTGACTGTGGTTTGGTGACACCACAGTGCTGTGAGCTAGGAAGTGTACACTCAGGAAATCTGAGGCAGGACTTAGAAGGGATGAGCATATATTTATATATATGGAAACAAATAAACAACAACAATTAAAAACAAGGAAATCACTAATCTATTTACTGCTAACTTATTCACTAAGCTTCAGGTAACATCTTTCATCTTAGAGCAGCTAAAATGTTTTCAACAAAATATCTTGAAATTCATAAAAATTTCTGATCAGGGATATCTGAGCTCATGGAACAAGACAGAGCTGGAGTGTCTGGGAACTTGAAGTGCGTTGTCATCTGTGGGCTTTTATTTTGTTTGTTTGGTTTTTGCCTCTGATTTTTTTTAACCTTTTAATCTTTGGAATTATTATTACTTTTATTATGTTTTGTCTCTTGTTCTTAAAGGAAGCTTTTCTATCATCCATAACTTTAGCAAGAAAGGAGAGCTCCGGGACTAGCAGTTGGCGTAATGGCTATGTTGCTGGACTCCCACGTGGTCAACTGTGGTTCAAGTCCCGGCCCTGGTGGCTAAAACTCATGCCGGGCACGTGTGCGTGCATGCCCAAGATCTCAAGAGGAGAATGGAGAAAAAGGGATTGCGGCGTGGCCATCTCTCCGGGGGGTGATTTCTTGCTTTCTGTCTCTCTGTCTTTCTGGTGAGCTTACACGCCCTACAGCAAAAACCTCTCCAAAAAAAGAAAGAGAAAAGAAAGGAGAGCTCCAAGGGAGGCCAGTTTTGGGGTCCTTGGATAAATTAACTGGGAAAATTGCCACCACTACTTTATTGACACTCAGCTCAGCCAAGGCCATGGCTTCAACCAAACAGGAAAGAAAAGACTACTGGCCCAGTCACTGTGGCACAGCAATGGCATACATACTCTGCAGGCTTAAACTCACGCCGGGCGCGTGTGCGTGCGTGCCCAAGATCCCGAGAGGAGAATGGAGGAGAAGGGATTGCGGCGTGGCCATCTCTCCGGGGGGTGATTTCTTGCTTTCTGTCTCTCTGTCTCTCTCTGTCTTTCTGGTGAGCGCACATGCCCTATAGCAAAAACCTCTCCAAAAAATGAAAACAAACAAACAACAAAAAAAAATAGGGTA